CCCTCCCCCCGACCCACAACAACATGAGTACCAAAAAATATAATGTAATATAATATCAATACTGTAAAGATTCTTTCCTTTGAACTTCAACTGTATTTTATCTCATTCCTTGAGCATTATTGCACATTGTTACATCAGAAAGACTGACAATATGCCGGCTCTCTACAGGACCTGAGATGAGAAATGCAAACTAGTTAAATGAAGGTCAGTAGACTTGTTCAAGACAGGCACAGTGTAGCAAAGTAGACCTGTCGCAGACAGGTAATATAATAATGTTGATATAGTTAGTAATTAGTAGTCATGGCAAGATTTATTAAAATGTTCAGTTGTAAAAAATGTACAAAGATAGGTTGTTTTATATAAAAATAAATTAACTGTGTTTAAAAATATGACATTAAAATGCAGTTTTCATCTATGTAAGTAACAAAAAGCATCAAAGTCAACATTAACATATGTGAGGCAGCGTGGTGGAATCAGGCTCTCGTCAAAATAATCAAATTGAAGAAACCTGCATTTTTCCGAAGGTTGGTGAATTTTTATCAAGTTTTTGTTTTTTGGCTCCACACCTTTCATGCCCATTAAAGAACTCATATCTGTGTGGATTTTTCTGAAAAACGTTGAATAAAGGCACAAAAAATGTAAACCTTCAGTTACCACGGACTCTTAAGCTAAGGAAATAACCAATCTTTGGCGGCCATTTTCTCACTAATTTTTCCTCTGAAAACAGGTGACCCCCACCTCCTTCATTTGCTAATATCTTGACTTGTATTCAAGATACATGGATATTTTTTTCATTCAAATAAACACAAGTGAACAAGCTTTAAGATGATACCGTTAACTCTTTATGCTCAAAAATTGACGAGAGCCTGATTCCACCACGCTGCCTCACATATAACAGTTTGAGCCAGAGTACTGTAAACCAGTAAGAGAAAGTGTTACCTGTCATAAAACTATAATTCAGAACTGCTTATGGGATCTTGATGTCATGAATGAGGAAGGCTAAATTTTACTTTCATCCCCAAAACACAAAGCTATCAATACATTTTTTAAAAGACAAAACAAAAAGCATAGCGTAATATAAATAAATCACCTGAGTAACAATAAAACCATATATGTCACTTACAGCAGTGAACAACATGAAGAGAAATATCAGCCAAACATTGGAAGGGGTCCAGTGAAAAACAGCGGGAGTCACATAAATCCTACCATGACTTTGTCTATCTAAAAGATTTTTACGTTTAAAGATGGACTCGGCTTGTTTTTAATTTCATTCACTTTTATCAAAATATGGTTTGTGAATGAGATAACGGTTGAACCTGCACTAAAGGCCACTTGTCCAAGACAATCACCTGTACAAACAGCCCCTTCCACCCATGTAGTTGTCTTTTATACAAGAATGACTCTGTCCATGACATTCACTAGTCTAACAAAACCACTTTTCACCCAAACAATGGGTGGCTGTCTTAGACAGTTTTGAAAGTAGTTAGCTTTCCATTTGATTGAATTCACAGGGATATTCTACAGGTACTGTTGTGAGTTAAAAGCTAGTACCCTGAGGTGAAGAGGCGAAAATTAAAATGGTATGGGCATGTCACAAGATCCACAGGACTTGACAAAATCAATCCTGCAAGGAACCGTACAAGGAAAGAGAAAGAGAGGAAGGCAGAGAAGGAGATGGGAGGACAACATTACAGAATGGACAGGAAAGCAGATGACAAAAATAGACGGCAAGAGCTGGTTTTCAGATGCAGTGGTGCCCCCACAGTTGCCCCAACTACGGGATAGGAGAAGAAGAAGAAGACCCTGATGTATCATTGTAGGGCTAAAACCTGATGTACTGTTCTAAGTTCATGGCCAACAACACCCCGAGATTTTTCTAAAATCGGACTCATCCTGTTGTTCACTTGACCCCTTCTCTTGTGTAATCCCTCAGTATCACAGTGAAAAAAGAACATAAAAATCCGCTTTAACATAAACAGGAACTGAAGTTCCACATCCCACTTAAGAAGAAAACATTTGTAACTTATGAAAAATCTGAAAAACGATAAAAGATTCCCGCAAAAGCGTTCATTAAAAAAATTGTAGTAAAGAGAGTGGGTTTGATATATGGGGTACTATGGGTTATTGATATGTGAATAGATATAAAGATAAGGGATAAATATGCATGAATGAAAGTGTATGTGTGGGGGGGGGGGGGGATGTGGATGTGCGTGTGTGAGAGAGAGAGAGAGAGAGAGAGAGAGAGAGAGAGAGAGAGAGAGAGAGAGAGAGAGAGAGAGAGAGAGAGAGAGAGAGAGAGAGATAGATAGATAGAGAGAGAGAGAGAGAGAGAGAGAGAGAGAGAGAGAGAGAGAGAGAGAGAGAGAGAGAGAGAGAGAGAGAGACTTTTGACAAGTGCATGAGCGAGAATTTTCCACTCCACAGCAAATTCCTCTTTTTTTAGATCAATGCATTATATTGTGATTATTACATATCTTATCTTATCTTGATCTTACTTTATCTTATCTTATCTTATCTTTGAAATGTCAAGTTTACAGTGAAGAAAGCTCAAGGTCTCTGAACCCTAGCGATAGTCCTATTTCCATAAAACTTAGTTAAAAGACTGGTGCTCAAAAGAATTGTCATGCGTCTTGGTGATCATCTACTTCTTTTTAAAATTATGTGTGTGTGGGGGGGTGGGGGTTCAGTTGGTGAGCAGCTGGAGAGGTAATAACGTTCTGCGGGTGAGCTGATGCAATGGTGCGTCAACATTGTTACACACAAAGTGATTTTTGAAGCCTGTCCACAGTCCACAAAATAATACCGGTGTTAACAGACGACAGTACGGTGGCCGAGTGGTTAAGGCGTTGGACTTAAGATCCAATGGAATTATTTCCGCGTGGGTTCGAACCCCACCCGTACTAGATTCTTTTTTTTTCTCTTCAAATGTATTTGTTCCAACTGAGAGAAGACCAAACTGTTCTCACCTTCTAAATTATGTCTCCCTACTCAGTGGGCATAGAGGGTGGTTGGAGGGTGCCACTGGCAGGTTCTATTTCCTTACTTCCCTTCTGTTGTTTCTGATTGGTGTATGTTATCTTACTTTTTTCAGCACTAATTAATTATCATTGTGTTGATGCACTTCTGTTTACTCATTTCTTTAAGCAAACTCACACAGTGGGTGGTTAGCGGGTGCTCCTTC